CTGTCTTGGTCTTAACAAGGTCTTGCTCTGTCACCCAGGGTAGAGTGCAGTGTCATCATAGCTCACTGCAAATTCAATCTCCTAGGCTTCAGCGACCCTCCTACCTAAGCCTCCCAAGTAGCTGGGACGATAGGGGTCAGCCACCATGCCCTGTTAATTTTCTCTGTTTTTAGCAGATACAGGGTCTTGCTCTTGCTCTTGCTCAGGCTGATCTCAAACTCCTGACCTCCCAGAGTGCTGGGATTACAGGCATGAACCACCTCACCAGGCCTTAGTTAGTTTTCTATATTGGATACCATGGAATGTTCTCTGTATGTTTTTAGTGTTAGGAGTTAGGATTGGAAATACAGGAATATTCTTTGGAGAGTGGAGTATTTGGGTTTGTTGAATGTTTTGGATAACTGAGAGTTAATCTGTAATACAGTAAATCCTTAACATTTTTGGCAGGTTAATGGGGTCTTGGAAGACTTTAAGTAAAATGATGTCTAACATTGATCAGACCAGTTTTTTTCTCATCAATGTTATAGCAAAATGATGTTGAAGGAAAAAAACATTATTTGAGAACCTTCTGTATGTCTTTCACTTAAATTCACAGTTCCTAAGAACCTGTGATGATGTTGAGTGAAGACTTAGGTGCAATCCTCCCTTACCTCTTTTTTTGTTGCAACCCTTGTTGAATCATACATATTCCCTATTATGGTAAATAACTGTACATATACGTGTACTTTAGAGATTAGACTGCATTGTCACAAGGTCCAGTTCTAAATGACTAGTACCATTTTTGCAAGATGTGGGCAATTGTAGGAAACTGAATGTGAACCAACCCCAGTACTCCACTAGCTTCTTTTCACTGAATTCCAGGCATAAACAAATTTATGACATTTTCTTTGTTTCTTTTTCACTTAATTATAGTGCAGAGAAAGTGATCAAATTTAATTGAAGTCCTGGTTTGTTGACTCTAGTGAGTCAGTCAGCAAACTGTCTTACTCTGCCATTCTGTGCTCTTCCTTCTCAAGCATAAACCATGGAAGAGCTCAGAATGACAGAATAAGATAGCTCCAGCAGTTCAGGAAAGGTAGTGTACATTTATCTATCCAGTTTCTTCCAGGAATTGTTTGTATCAGCTCCAAAGCATAGGAAACTTTAATTTGCAGCGGTGGTATGGTTAATGAGAATTGGAGAAAGTTGGTCTGCTTGGTTTTGGGTTCTCATTTTAAATGATCTTTTTTAGAGTAAAAAAACAAACTGTGTTTTTCTGACTTACAGGCTGAGGAAGATGCCCACCTGGATGGGGCTGTTCCCATCCCTGCAGCGTCTGGGAATGGAGTGGATGACCTGCAGGAGACAATCCAGGCTGTGGTAGACAACGTGTGCTGGCAGATGTCTGTGGACCGAAAGACCACTGCCCTCAAACAGCTGCAGGGCCACATGTGGCGGGGAGCGTTCACTGCTGGGCGCATGAAAGCAGAGTACGTGCTTATGTTAGCCCAAACATTTCACCAGCCCCAAACTCAAATTTGTTTTTCTAGTCCTCTCTTCCCAGTGTAAGCTGAATAATTAGTAAAACCAATTAAATCAACATTCTTTTTGTTCTAACAAGTAATTATTTTATTTTATTTTTTCAAAGCTGAGCTAAAGCATTTCACCCAGCTGAAATCCACAGACCTATATGTCTGGCTTTGTGGGATGGTTGAAAGACTTTTAGTCCCAGTTTAAAACAACTTCCTGTAAAACTGCTTCGAACTAAGTCATACTTGGTCCTCCGCATGTGAGTGACAGTAACATTGGGCTGCTCTCCAGGTACGCTGGTGACTTGCTTTTTGCTCTGCTAGAGAGTAAGAATGCTATGGGATTATGTACCCCATTATTTTGGAGTCACTCAGAGAATGTCTGCACTGCTACTTTTACTGTGCTCTTTTGAGCAACTTCCACAAATCCTTTTAGTCTTATTTGTAGAGTTCCTGATAATACTGAGGTGCGTTATAGTATTGCTGAGAAGGTCTTAATAAGATATGACCCTAAGGATTTTAGTCTGTTGTCTGATGTAAACCCTAAGATTCAAGATCGTTTCCAGCTGCCTGTATTTCCTTTGTATTTCTGTCAAACGACATGTTATTGTTTTATTTATATACTTTATAAGGAGCTTCTACATTTTAAATTTCAGGATATGACAAAGATCTAGGAATACCAGCTGGGTTCATGTAGTAAAAGACACAAAAGAGCGGGCCCAGGAGACGGTGCTCTTAGCAGGGACCCTTCTGCTGATCTTTGTTCTGTAATTACAAAACCAGGGGCTTGGCATACATGACCTTAAACTGCTAAGGTACTGCTTTGGAGCAGTAACAATCTCTACAAATCTAATGTGGGAAATTCTGGGTCCATGACTGCAGAGAAAGCGCACTTACAGTGACATGTCCTGGCTTTCAGTAGGTTCATCTCTCCTGCAGTTAGGACATGCTAAGGACATGTTCAGTGGAAGATTTCTAGTTGACATTTTCTTTTTATTTATCTATTTTTTATTGAATAGTAACTGTGTACATTAATGCACTTCTGGGGTACAGTGGGGTATTTTCACAAACAATCCGAAACACTTCCATCAAACTGGTTAACATAGCCTTCACGTAATTTTCTTAGTAACTGTGTTAAAACGTTCATATTCTACTCATGGAAAGATTCACTTGTACCCTTGTAAGATGAACCACAGAAGTGAACCCTCGAATATCCCTCCCTCCACCCATTCCCCCCTCCCTCCCCCTTCCCCCGTATCCTTAGGTTGTTATTAGGTTATAGCTTTCATATAAAAGGTATAAATTAGTTTCATGACATTTTCTATTTAATATTTTAAAGATGACTGGTTTCACAACCGAAGTTCCTTATGCTTCTCTTTTCAACCTTTTTGTGGTGTTATTTCCTCCATTAACATAGAAGACACCGTGACATTTGTAAAAGAGAGTGTCAGGAGTCAGAAAATCAGATGCTGTTTGGAAATTTGCCGTGTGAGATAGGGCTACTCTCTTAACTGCTACTTATGTATTTTTTTCCTATGGACTAAAATGTTAGGTTTTCTTAGTTCTCAAGAAATGTAGTTCCAAATAACGACAACAACAAGAACAACAAAATAGCCAGGCGTTGTGGTGGGCACCTGTAGTCCCAGCTACTTGGGAGACTGAGGCAAGAGAATCGCTTAAGCCCAAGAGTTTGAGGTTGCTGTGAGCTGTGACACCACGGCACTCTAGCAAGGGCAATATAGTGAGATGAGACTCTGTCTCAAAAAAAAAAAAGAAAGTAGTTCCATTTTTAGCTAATCAGAGTTTTATAGTTGTCAGCTCCCAAACCTTTTTTTCAATCATTTTGGGTACAGCTCTTTCTAAGAGCATTCTCATGTCCCTTAAAATGTACTGGATTAATGTAATCTTTTCTTGTGAATGACATCAGAGATCATGTAATAGTTTAACATAATTGCTACTGTGTGCTTTTTTGAGTTCCTTGGGAATTTAAAAGCTACTCTTTTGGGTTTGTTTGAGACAGAGTCTCTCACTCTCACCCTCCCTAGAGTGCTGTGGTGTCAGTTACCTCAAACTCTTGGGTTCAAGTGATCTTCTTGCTCAGCCTCCCAAGTAGCTGGGGACTACAGGCACCTGCCACAACGCCCAGCTAGTTTTTCTAGTTTTAGTAGACAGACACCCTGACTTAGGCTGGTCTCCAACCCCTGAGCTCAGGCAGTCTGCCCGCCTGGGCCTCCCAGAGTGCTGGGATCACAGGTGTGACTCGCTATACCCGTCTGGCCTCCCCAAAATCACTCTCTTGTTTTATCCCTTTATCTACAGTCCCTTTTTTCTGTCATTGGTGTCGTTATCTATCAAAATAGTTTTGGAGGAAAAAAGAATAGTTTTTCTGTTCTCCACCTAAAATTGTTGCTTCTATTCTGCTGTGATCCTGGAACTCTGGCAAGACCTTTTAGCTTATCAGAACTGTAGGAATTCATAGTCCCACGGAGTTGCTTCTCAAGTTACCAGCTGGGTACAAATAGAAACACATGGTGTTACTTTGGCTGGTTTTTATCTGGCTGGGTAATGTCCTGCATTTTAACCTGGTGGTCTCTCCTCTAGGTTCTTTGCAGACGTAGTTCCAGCAGTCAGGAAGTGGAGAGAGGCTGGAATGAAGGTGTATATCTATTCTTCAGGGAGTGTAGAGGCACAGAAACTGTTATTTGGGCATTCTACAGAGGGAGATCTTCTTGAGGTGGGTTACTTGGTTTCCTTTGGTTTGGGCCCTGGAATGTATTATATTTACAAGCTACATCAGTAGTCACATTAATCACACTTATATATGCTCAGCAGGTTGTAAAGAGAAGTGGAAAAACTGGGGAATACATTAGAGGGAAGGAGGAGGACATGTTTTATTTGGTATCTGTTTTGGGGTCAAAGGTTCTTAAATTTTGTTGTGTGTAAAGGTTTCCTGAGTAGTAGTTTGTTAAAATGTACATCATTGGGCTCTGCTTTCTGGCAGATCTGAATTGGCAGGTCTGGGGTGGGGTCATTAATCTATATTTAAATAGCTGCAGTAAGTGATTTTGATGAAAATAGTAGAGAGTCATCTGTTGCATGCACACACATACGTGCTAACATGTAAATCAGCTATTTTGCTGGTGTTAGAAAATGAGTAACTGAAAGGAAACCAATGGGATGCTTTCTTTGGTTGTTAAAATTAAGAAAAGAATCACTGTAATTATATTGCATTTATAATTTCTTCTACATAAGGTTATTAAAGTTTACTCTGTGTCTTAAAAAATAAAATAAAATCAGGTAAGATGCAGCCCTGAGGAGCACGTGGGCTCCTGAGTGCAGCAGAGCAGAGGTAGACTCAGCGGTGGCTCTCTGGACAGATAGAGATTTTATTTCAGAAGAGACTACATTCTTATTTGAGAGAACTGGGCACATGATTAATGCAATGATAAGTTAAGGCCACTCATACATTTCTTGTATATGAGAAAATTCCTCCCAGCCCCTCTGTGTCACTGTCCCTGCCCCTGTGGGATGGTCAGTGGAAGAATTGAATACATGTGAGACTTAAAGGAAGTGCTGCCTGACCAAATACAGGTTGAACTTAGACAGAGGCAATAGGTAACTTGGCCAAGTGATTTTTTAAATACTTGTTGAACCCTTACCATGTGTAAAGAACATTTAGGCTTTGGAGGCTGTCATAGTATAATCTTTGAGACAGAGCCTCAAGCTGTCCCCCTGGGTAGAGTGCTGTGGCATCACAGCTCACAGCAACCTCCAACTCCTGGGCTCAAG